GCACCCAGGATCTAGAAGGTGAACAGAAACATAGCAGGTGATATCATAACAAACTCTTGCCAAATTGAGGTTAGAGGGAATTTCCATTTTCTTTCTAGATGGTATTAAAAGTTCTTATTTACAGTGAGGGTAATGACGGTATCCAACAGCCTTTTCCATGCCAGTTCCAGGATTAGGAGGATGCTCAGCCTGTTCCTGACGCACAGCTAGCACAGAACCTGTGGGATGGAAAACTTCCTTTGATGGATTCTGAAGCAAGCACTGTAACAGGGAAGGCTTGTTCGTAGGTGAGAGAGGAACTGAGGTAACACTTGGTGATAGAATAAGACTTAGTATAATTTTAATAGTGAAATTTACCTCGACTTCTTATCACCTGTTTCAAATGCAAGCAGAGTGGTACGTGTTGCCTGTTTAATACTATTTCCTATGTGTTAAGTCTCTTCAGAGCGGACCATCTCCTATGGAGGTTTTTGCATGAATAGTGTTAGTATCAGAATGACTGTCAGAGAAGACTATGCTTCTGTCTTATGAAGGATCTGATAGAAAGACTAAAATAAGAAATCATATTCTGCTTTTAAAAGATGATATGATGTTTATATGTTTGACAGGAGCTATTACAGTTTCAGAGTCACTATCATCCAGAAGCATCAGGCACAGAAACGCACAAGTGTGCCTGCAGAAGAGGGGGAGGCGAGAGACAGAAAACCTATTGCTATGAACTTTTTGCTTTCCTTAGCCACGTAACTCTTGCAAGAAGTTATGAAGCCAAGACATGTGACAAACATGGTTTTAATTACCAGTGCCGGTAACTGTGCCAGGAAATGGTGCTGGTTCTGGAAGCAATAGAAAAGCAGCAGGCTCTCCTGCTTAAACTTATCTTTAAAGAGGATTTGTCTCCTTTTTCCATGCCTTTGGAATGCTGCCTGACATCACCTGGGCCTCCACACACCGCTGGCTAAGAGGACACTTTCTGACTTCCAAGAAAAACAAATGCAAATGCAAAAAGCTTGCATCTGGCCTGTTACCTCATCCTCGGCCATCTGGGCTGCTTGAGAATCATCATGGCATTCCCTGTTCCTTTTTGCTTGCTACACAATAAATTTAAAAGACTGTTGAGAAAAGAGACATTCGCAGAAAGCGGGCAACACTTAGACCTCAAAGAGTTAGAAGGACTGATCTGCATTATTTCTACACAAACTGGTAAGTTTCTTCAGGTATTAAAGAATCTGTATGTTCAATAAAAGCTCCCTGCAGAGCCAAGATGTGCATGATCTATCAATTATGTGTCATTGCCAAAAAATCCTACTTTTTCCACTGCCCTGGTTCAGAATTATGGACAGTCAGTCTTTCCATACTCCTTCCTTCTGCCTTAATTACCAATAATCAAAGATACATAGTGCAGTTTCTTCCCCTTCCACCCTTGCTGGACGAAGGATTTTACAGTGCTTAAAACGCATGCAGGGAGGCTGCTATCCTCTGTGTTAAGGAACAAATTCAGCTGCAAATTCTCTTCAGGAAAGCTAGCAGAAGCTTAATTCTGGTGACAATGTTTCTTCTAATCTAGTCATTGATGATCCTTAAACTTACTGTGCCACATTTTTCCAAAAGCTTGGAAGAACAAAACATTCAAAAATTGCATGTAGCACCCTGAATGATTTAGATCAGATGCCTGCACCGTTTCTGCTTCTGTGACGCGTATAGTAGCCACTTGTCAGCTACCACTCTGCACATTATCTAGCTTTGACTGAAGTTTTATTAGCTGCCATGAATTTTTTCAGAAGACGAATATTTTAAAAAGGAAAAAAAGGAAGTGTATTGGGTCAGGCTGAGATGGAGTTAATTTTCCCCATAGCAGCCCTCATAGTGCTGTGCTTTCTAGTGGTAGCTAGAAAGGTGTTTTGGCTACTGCTGAGCAGTGCTTGTAGAGTATCAAGGCTGTGTCTCCAACATTCCCACCGCCACCACCAGTGGGCTGGGTGTGGGCAAGATCTTGGGAGGGGACGTAGCCAAGGCAGCTGACCCCTACTGATTAAAGGGATATTCCATACCATATGACGTGGGATCAAATATAAAAGCTAAGGGAAAGGGTGGGGGGGGAGCAGGATTCATTTTTTTTTATGACATTTGTCTTCTGGAGCAACCACTACGCATACTGAAGCCCTGCTTCCTGGGAAGTGGCTGGACATAGCCTGCCAATGGGGAGGAGAGAATAAAATCTT